TGCCCTTAAGTAATTTGCGCAGAGAAAAAGCCAACAAATTACAATGAAAACCAACGCTTTTCTAGACTATGTTTGTGCATCAGTACACGTCCTTCTATGAAATAAAAACTACAGAAACCCCCTTTTTGGAAACGTTAAAAACCGCAAAGTATTCACTGATATTTCAAGCCCTTTCCTCCTTGCCATCAAAATAGAAATTTTACTGAAGAAAGGATCTCCTAATACATAGAAAATGGCGTGCATACGATTCTGCCTGCTAATTCTATGTCAATTTAATAGTCAAAATACGGCCTGAAAAACATTTTATTCTCGGCGAAATCAGGCAATATCCTCTTTGCTCTATTCAACCGCATATCTAGAAATGGAAAATCATAAAATTACATGAAATTCTCGCGGAACAGTTTTCTAACCTATGATCAAACATTGCACATTCCGGAGGTTACTTGCTTGGAATATATGCAAAGACGGTTTTTTAAAACTTAGCTGTGCATATGTTGTCATCTTTACTAAGTTATTAGCTTGGTTCACTGGCTAACAGTTGTGACGACCTTCCCCTTCCATATTCGGTGCTGAGACTTCGCCTAGGCGGAGTAATTAGCCACGCGGGGAGCGCACAGGTGAACATTGGTCCCAACGCCAGGATCGATGCGTCAGATAATCGAGCAATCATCACACCAACATTCAACACCCCTGATGAAATTGCAGCAATTAACGACGCGAATGTCAGCCATTAAACAATTAGCACACCAAGTGCGGCGATCCCGGATGAAGGGGGGAACCGTGAATGTTCATAGGTATGCGGTAGCATGGCGACTGCATCCTATGAATACTGCAGCCCCTTGTGCATGAACCTCCCGTATCAGCTTTTGTCTCTGATGATGGGTTCGAGCAGGAATCCGAAACGTCAGGCGAATAAAACTCTTGTCCCGGCGATCGTGTCTTCTTCTACAAACGGTGACCTTGTTTTACTTCCGAGGAAATAAATGCGCAAACTTGGAGTAAATCCTTCGGAACTTACCTTTTTGGACTCAGTCTGAAAGTTAGTGTGAATATTTGAATTGAAATCCATCAGATACCTCAAAAGAACCGCGTGATAGTCACAAGCTGCCATCTGACAGTCAGCAGTATACAAATACGGGATTATTTACTATAGCGACAGTAGAGGTGCTAGCTAAAAGCTCAGAAACTGGCCTCCTTGGAAGACTAAAGACGGCGAATAAGTAGGAGGGCGTGGGCATGCATACCCAGCTGGTCCCATTCTACGATGTATTTTCAGGGCATAGAGACAGGAACAAAGTCAGTAAGCATTAGTATTAGTTGCTACCCTGTTTTGAATGCGTCTCATCCCCAGAAAGCCATTTCCCCGGGAAGGGGGGGGGGGGCGGAAAAGGGCAGCAACACAGCGGGACCAAACGTTTTTTGCCGCAATTCCGGAAACAGACCGCGGGGTATATATAGAGGATGTTTTGGCGGCGGACGCACTAACAACACTACCTCATTTGTAACCAACTTGGTAGAGGCGAAAAAGACATGTGCTACCACTCGGAGCTGGAATGCGCGGAAGCAGAGTTATTATTGAACAAGCGCTCGGAAGTTGAGACTAGTGGACCGCACTGCCACTCCACGCTATCCCAGCCTGGCTGTTTAAGTCAACAGAGACCGTCGGTAGAGTAGTGGTGACATGAGCATGAACTGGATTATGAGAACGACTTGTGAAGCGACCGCCTCACCCGCCTTCTACACGCCTAGTACAGAACATGAGGATGAAGTAACCGTTCGCCTCACCCTCCTTCTCCTCCCCCCTTTCCATTCCCTCATCCATCCCCCCCTTTTTTTTTTCTTCTTCTTCTTCTTCTTCTTCTCCCCTCCCTCTCTCTTTGCATTACAGATATTTACTACTGAAACGAATAAGCCGAATGTACCGAGTTGCAGTAGGTGTGCTAGCTCATGAAATGTTGACCGAAATTCTGAAATGCGTTTTTGTTTCCAAAAGATTGATTAGATAGGGTTTTAAAAGTAACCATCGTGCAGCATAATTCCAAAAGATGCCGGCTTCCGAACAAACTTCTTTCCGGCCGTATGGAAAACCACACTCTGTAAAAGATGACTGCTTAAGTAGCATAGATTTTTCTCGTCGATTTTCAGTGACCTTAAAAATTCAATAATATTTCACAGAAAACATGCATGAAATATTCATTCTTTTACTTATTTGGTAGCAACTTACGTCTTCTTCCAATTTTATACCCGAGGGAAGAGTATAATTCGGTTTTAAACTTTTCTAATTATGAAATTCTTTAATACCGTGAAATGTCCGCTCATAAAGCATCGTGTCTCTGCATTCACTAATGTTGCTTGTAAAGTTTAAAATATAGCTCACATCTACTACTTAATTTTATGAACCGCATATGGTCTCCTCTTAATACCGTAGAGAAATGTATGATTTTCCGTACATGGAAATTATACCGCTTGTAGTTTGGAGACGCTGGACGCATATGTAACGACAGGTCTGGTTCAAAATTATTTGAGAATTGGAAAAGTTTTTCAAAACCGAATTGTACTCTTCCTTCTGGTACAAAATTGGAAGAAGACGTAAGTTTCTGCCGAATGAGTAAAAGAATGAGTATTTTATGCACGTTTTCCATGAACTATAATTGAACTTTTAAGGTCATCGAAAATCGATAAGAAAATTGGATACTACTTAAGTAGTCATTTTTTTACAGAGTGCGGCCTTCGCATGCGGTCGGAAAGAAGTTTGTTCGAAAGGTGGCATCCGGAGGTAACTGAATCATTATGGAATTATGCTGCACGATGGTTACTTTTAAAACCCTATTTAAGTAATCTTTTCGAGTCGAAAACGCATTTCAGAATTTCGTTTAACATTTCATGAGTTAGCACACCTACTGCAGCTGTCGGAGTTCCACCGACAACGTTCTTGAGAGCGCATCGTGGCTAACATCTTTTACAGACAATGACCAACAGGCTCACGACTTCTTTAGCTAGACATAAAGTGTAAGAATTTCTTAGAGGCCCAACCTTTCAGAGCTTCTTACAGGCCATCTTAACAAAACTAATGAGGATGTTAGGACGGCCCAGAACATGGTGCACCGGCCCCGTCGTGTGCGGCTGTCACGCCTGAGAACAGCAAAGCCGCAGATTAGTCTCGCCTAGCAAGCCCGCGCGAGAACCAGTGATTACCGTGCCACCAAGTTACGCGTGACCTTCAGGGGTTGACAACAAGAGATGGTCTGCCATGGGGGCGGGCGCTCAGAGAGCTGGACCAGTAGGAACGCGCAAACCTCAACTACAAAGCCACGGGCGGGAGAACTGAGAATTGATATACACAGACTGACTGTGGCGGTAAAGCGGTTTTCTGCTATCTGTCTGTCTCCTATTCCGCACAGGACTGCTGTCATACCAATAGAAATACAGTAGATGTGTTAACTAATGAAATGTTAACCGAAATTCTAAAATGCGTTTTCGACTCGAAAAGATTACTTAGGTGGGGTTGTTATATTAATCACCGTGCAGCAAAATCCCGTGATAATTCAGTTATTTCAAAATGCCGCCTTTTGGATGAACTTCTTGCCGGCCGCCGCAAAACTTACACTCTGCAAAAGATGGCTGCTTAAGTAGTATGCATTTTTCTTGTCGATGTTTGATGCTCCTATAAATTAAAATACATTTCATGGAAAATATGCATAAAATATTCATTCATTTACCCACCTTCCTCAAATTTTTGCACTTGATTGAAGAGCACAACTCGGTTTTAAAAAGTTTCCAATTATGAAATTTATTTAATGCCGTGAAATGCCCGTTAATAAAACATCGCGTCTCTGCAGTAACTAATGTTGTTTGTGAAGTTTACAATGTGGCTCAAATCCACTGTTAAATGTTACGAACCCCGTATAGTCTCCTCTTACTAACATATAGAAATGTATGATTTTCCGTACACGGAAATTATACCGCTTGTAGTTTGGAGACGCTGGATGCATATGTAACGGCAGGTCGAGTTCAAAATTATTCGGAAATTGGAAAAGTTTTTTAAAACCGATTTATACCCTTCCGTCAAGTATAAAACTTAAAGAGGACATAGTTTTTGACCAACTGAGTTAGAGAATGAATAGTTTTATGCGTTTTTCTATGAAGTCTATTTGAATTTAAAAGGGCATCGAAAATAAATGGGAAAAATCCATGCAGATGAAGTAGTCATTTTTACAGAACGTAGGCTTTTCAGGCTGTCGGAAAGATGTTCACTCAAACGCCCACATCCCGAAGTAATTGAACTATCTTGCGATTAATGTCAGAACCCTACTTAGGTAATCTTTTCTAGTCGAAAACGCATTTCAGAATTTCAGTTAACATTTCATGAGTCAGAACAGCTACCGTAAAACCCCATTAAGCTACCTTATATACTTGCCGCATTTTCTTTTTTAGGTAGGTTTATGGTGTTTTACCACCAGGTGAATAAGTGAGACCGCGGATAGTCAAACGTCGGCGGAAACTTTACACTCAGAGGAGATTAATGGGGTGAAAATACTGTCGAAATCATCATTTCCGAGGTCGATAAGCACATACAGTTTTGCCAAAAAGGTTTCCAAGGTGATCTCTTTGCTGAAATTACGGATTTCCGAAGTGGCCGTTGGGTGGGAGCCCTTAGCATTCACCAGAATGCGACACAATCAAGTCTTTAACTGCTAACGAGAGTAGAAATCTGTGCTTTCTGGTTGTACCCCGACCAACTAGCAAACAAACCCTCTACTAAGACGTAGACTAATGCGCTAACTTTAGCAGTTTTAGTCGTTAAGCAGACAGGGGACCCTTCACTAGAGTGACCAAGTTATCAGGCTGGAAACTCGGATTAGTAAATGGTTTTGCAAGATCTTATTTCGTAGCCGTATCTGTTAGGGGTTAGGGGTTAATGTTAGGAATTAGGGTTAAACCGCTATTATCACAGATCTCGTATAGCAGGCGGCTGAGTCCTGTCTACTACGGCTACGAAATTAGATCCGACCACTTGTTTCGTGAGAAAAAAAGGCAGCAATAAGGACACCAGTATGCAGACGTACACAGCCGCCGTCAGCTCCCTCATCTGTGTCTGTCATATCAGACGGCAGGCTTCCGGAGTAGTTCAGCGTGGCAGTGGAACCCACCTCCGACGGTGTGTACAGCGTATCCTGTGGATGCCCCACAGCCAGGCATACCGTTACAGTCTGCATGTGGTCTGAGGGATAGGAGGACTCAACTCGACGCACAGCAACTCGAGTATCATCCGGCAGCACGAATTCACTCATGTACTGTCGATGCACGCGTTGACCCAGTAGGACCACTGAGGACTGCGTGTCCGTTCTGGCCTCGCGGAAGGTGAATTTGTCCAACTCATGCAGATCAAGGTTAAAGCGGTTGGCCACGTGCTCCGCCGCCTCCGATTCGGTGGGAATGCTCGTCTCCGTTGTCTCGGTGGTTTTGGCGCTCGTCGTCGTCGTTGCGGCGGCGGCAGTCGTCATCTTGCGTCGAACACTGCGATACCCCTGTGACAGGCTGCGTGAAGTGCGCGCGGCCTGGATGCGTTCGTGGATTCGGCTGCTCGGCCGTCAGACGGGAAAGGCAGTTGGGGCGTCGTTTGGGTCTGAAGCTGTAAATTTGCTCGCGGGTCATTGATCAGGTGCGAGGGCGTCGTAGACCGGACATCCGAGGCGTGTGTCCGTGTGCGCGCACGCGAAGCAGACGAACGTTCACCCGCCATTCGGCTGTCTGCGCACGTGAGGCAGACAGACGCGTGCGCGCATCCCGACACGTGCAGCCGGTGGCAGCTGATTTGCCAGCTCAAGGTCGTGAGGGTGCGCATAGATGACAGGGCAACTGAGGCATTCGGGTCAACCCCCACTGTCCCGACTACGGATTCTCAAGTGCAGAGAATGATCGAGATTCTTAAAAAATGAAAGTTTATTGACCGGGGCGTGCGGAAGGTTCCTTACAACCCCGATTCCAAGTTTCCTGGACAGGTGGTTCCAGAGGGCGGAACGAGGGGCGTGCAAATGGACTGGCTGGATGATGAATTAGTGAAGACATATGTTTGTCGCTTCGGATTTTCCTTCAGAGAACTCTTAGAAAACTTTGGATGCCATAAAGAGACACGAAAACCATCTCTTTCCTGCACTTCTGTTACACGCATTAGGATGTGAAGGATATACAGTGTGTTACCTAAATCATGAATGTGTCGAAATTTACGAATGATTGTCAATCACTCGCAAACCGACACCATTTCATGAGTCCAATGTTTATGTTAATTAAGTACAAGTTTGGAAGAATTTAAAACATAAAAGAAATCTTAAAGGCAGTGTTGCGTTGTTCATAAATGCCAATTTTTTTAGAAAAGCGCAATATCCCGAAAACGTCAGAAATGGCTCTAATTTAGTGAACTTCATTTTTAAATGTATAGAATGTATTCTCATGCCGCAAACGTAGTCAGTATGAAAGCAGAAACAAAATAATGTCTATTAATAGTGTTTCAGTGAAGTTTACATCGAAATATCGTTTGCTAATTAGTGTGATTTCAGGTATGACGGTTTGTTAACTGCCTACATTCTGAGTGTAGATCCCAAAACAGTTTTCCAGGGATTCGGGGTATCCTTGACTCGTTTGCGTTGAATGAGATGGGGTTCAACAAAAGAAGCTGAATTTTGCTTGATTTCACCGATAGGGACATCGCAGGAACAAAAGACTTCATAAGGTGACATGTTGTCAGGCCGATCGGTGCCCAATAAATTTAAATAGAACTGACAGGCGTGATCGTGAGCAGACCATTTTGTGTTTATAGAGAGAACTTTTCTTCCGTTAAATTGATTTACACTTTTAGTTAGTTTCGGATTACGTTGAGTTTCAGATCGGCCTCGAAATTTTGCCGAATACTTCATGATTTTCAGCGTTTTCACCCGATCGTCCATAAAGACAGATTCTGAATTACCTGTCAGTTAAGAACTTTAAAATAAGATTATTCTTGATGGCATTTGCCGAATTAGTGAGTGTTTGGTCGCTCCTTTTCATGAAGATAGTCGTTTGGGTCACATGTGAAGACTCATTCAAACATCAAACTTCATTTTCGGCGAAAATGACTGTCCACAACGAAATCAACAACGAATATGCCTTCGACCAATTAAAAACTCTCCTTTATAAGCTGTGTCTTTAAGAAGTGCTTTATTACTGCACTCCTTTGACGGACCTCTGTGTACTTTGCATTTTTTCACGCCGAGGCCAAGTAAAAATATGACACTTTGGGGCATATCTTTCATGTTCCTAAACAATACTAACATTTTTAGCCGTAAACGTAAGAACATGCCTTTTCTAGATATTGCGGTCATTTGCACTGTTGTTGTTCGCTTTTAGACTCCGTTCTTCGATTATGAATGCACGACATAGCGTTTAGTATCGTTATCTGTGCTTGCTTAATTGTTTTAGGGCACAGAGAGCCATTTGCCGTTTTATGAATGGAAAACAGGCCAGATTTGAGCGAAATCCGACCTTTTTTGATATCTAGGTAATTTTCTACGCCAGTGGAATTCACGGATCGAATTCCCATGTTTATGCGCATTCTGTAATAAGTTTGAAATTAATCCCTTCTGAGGACGGGAAATTTGATTTTGCGCCCGTGAAAGTCAGATGATGGTAGATGTGAGGAAGAATGTGAGGAGAATTCAACCTTAAAATTCCGTTCTGCAGATTTAACAGTCCACCACACACAACCTGACTACCTCTAAGTTTGCTAGGCTTTCTGAAGGGCTTAAAGATATTTCCATCACTTTCCCATTTTCATGGCCAGCCTTCCTTATGCGCCTTCATAGTTAGCCATCTTTGAATTTTTAGTATTCGGTGAGAATTAATTATTTTTATGTCAGTAAATAAAACTAATCATGATTTCTTTTTGGAAACGGTCGTTTGTTTACTACTGTAAGACTCTGAGGAACGTGATTTGGGCCGATTTCGGGCTATGGGGATTTCTCTGAAATAACTCGCGACATTTCATGAGTTGTGACGCCTACTGATTTCCTTTTGTCGTCCGCCCGCATGCGAGGCGTCAAAGAGCGAAGCTCCAAGACAAAAATGAGATATATTAGGACACATGTGTTAATGTCGTTCCCTTGTGGTATCACATATGTTCGGTCACAAATGGTATATGTGTATATATACATAAATATGTAGATTGGAATACCGACAAAGGTAAGCGAGACTGGGAGGGCCGTTTTCGGATGACTGACCATCGTCAGCCAGCCATACCTGACCCCAGGTTTTCAGGACATGGGACTCGAACACGGGCTCTTTGGTCATCGGGTGTTATCAGACTCAACGCTTGACCACTGAACCACGGACCCGTTGTCACGTCGGTTGCGATCGCTAATATTCACTACCATGGGAAGGACATTCACTGACCAGATGACGGAACGAGCTCGCTCCGCTGCGTCTTTGGGCTTAGTTTAAAGCCCTCACAGGCATCGATACAGCCACTAGAAATATATGTTGAAAGGAGTGCTGGTAAAGACAAGGAAGACTGGAATGGCCATCTCGTTTCTGCCAGCCGTCATCAGCCAGCCATGCCCAACCCCATATCTGAGTGCGCTCAATGGTCAAAGAACTGAGGTTCAAAATCCCAGGTCACCAAGATCTGGGTTAGGGTAGGGCCTGCTGATGGCACCTAATAACCCTGAAATGACCATCCCAGTCTCTCTTTTTTCTTTCGGTATGCATTACCATAAGGGGTTTCAGCATGGAAGACAGCTTTGTATCACAATGTCACAATGAGGAATTTTAGGGCACCGTACACCGCGATATTTCAACGGAATTCACGACAGCACCCTTCAAAACATGCATAAGGATTTACTGGAACCGGCGAATGCACCTTTCCAAGGTGTTATATTTAATAACTCAATAAATCAGGTCTTAAGTGTAAGTCAAAAATTTCGTAGTTGGCTATCCATAAAGTTTGCACTCCATCAAGTCCTTGCGATTAGTTCAGACGTCTTTTTCTCAATTAGACAGCTTAATATTTCCCTCGACAACATGATGCCTCAGCTTTCGATAGGTCGCATCTTCCGAAATTCAAAACGAAATGCCAAAGGTGATTTATCGTTGTTTGTATTTGGAGCCGAGTTCAGTCGAATTCAACGAAAGAACCGCGTGTACTGAACAGTGCGCAACGCGCAGTACATACAGAAAGTGATACAGCGAGCGCAGTATACTCCCAAAAATTTCTGCCATCCCAAAATTCTGGCCTTTTAATGTACGGAAACTACTTTCAGTAAAAATGGTAATTAAAACAGTATGAATTTTAAAATTGGTTTTCGGTGCCCTGGAAAATCAAACATACTCTACAAGGTACACAAAAATGCAATTTCGCATGCTCGTTTGATATTATTAAATAAATCTGTTAAATATTCTATTTGAGGAGACGATGGTGTCCAATTTTAAGTGCGTCTTTCACTTCCCGAATAATTTAAAATTTCGACCGGGGTTGAAGGTTCCCAAACTACAAGCTGTAAGCTTTTTATTTAAGAAAAAGTCTTACTCTCCTCTACTTTTCTACAAAGATACCAAATAATAACATTTTGCAGTGGCTATGGAATACACTATTTTCATCATAAAGATAATTAACAAACGCACAAGTACCATATTATTTGAATAGGCCGTTTACGGTCTTCATAAATGTCCTAATTACAAACAGTTATTAAATCAAAAGCTGCCATTTCTTTGCGTAGAAGGATAGAAAAATATTAAAGTGATATTTTGAGCATGCTCCCCCTGAACTATGTTTAGTTTTGTAAGATCGTCGAAAATCATAGGAAAAGTGTACACCACTTTGTAATCTTATCAGGAAAAATGCATACATACATATGTGAGCTTAAATCAATATTACCTTACTTTAGAGCAGTTTCCTAATGTCGATAATTGTCATAAACTACGTTCGTGCACTTGTGCGTGTTTTCCACAAAAGAAAAGCAATTTAAACTAGAGAATTTTATTAACCGAATCTTGCGACATGAAAATTGACCATTTTCTATCCGCACGAGTCAGGTGAGGTAGGATACGAGTAAGCACGGTATTTTCAGAAAGCCGAACGCTTTTACGATCTTAAAAATTTAAATATTCAAATCTGTGCATCTTAACAAGAAGTAATAACGTCTACAGACAGTCCTTCGTTTGAATGTACTGACATTTTCTAGGCATTTGCGAATATTCTACACGCAATCGCGGAAAGATCCGCCACTAATTCGCAGGTCTAAATTTCAGGCCTATAGAAAGATGTCTTTAGAGCTGAACATTAACAATTTGAGCAATACATTACCATTTATCTGATATACAGGGGGGGAGACAACAGAGTCTGTGGGATAGATTGATACAGCGCTGTTTTGGACTTGTTTGCCTTCAATCAGCCAGTCAAAACCCAAACGGACCGGAAACGCAAACATACAGTAGATGGGCTAACTTAGGAAATGTCAGCCGAAATTCCGAAATG